CAGGAGCTGCCGCTGTTGAGGTGGAGCGTTGATGGGGTACAGTACAAGCTCGTGCAAACGGAAGAGCTACACCTATGGATGGTGACCCCAGTGGAGATGACAAGCTCTTGGAAGCCAGGTTCACAAGGCTTCTTGGCAACCTACGTTGATGACTTTCTAGTTGGAGCTCCACAAGAACAAGCCAATGCGATGTTGGAAGCTGTACAAAGGAGGTGGACATGCAGCCCACCGGAAATGGTCACTGAAGACCACCAAATGAAGTTTTGTGGATACGAGATTGCCAAGGTCAAGGACGGGTTCTTTCTACATCAATGTGGATACCTCAAGGACGTCCTGAAACGACATGGCATGGAGGCTGGTATGGCACCGGTTAAGAACTTGTTTGCCAACTTGGGCGAAGACGACACTGAGGAGGTGCAAACAGGAGATCTTCGTCAAGCTCAACAAGTCATAGGGGAACTGCAGTGGTCGGTTACCCGAACACGACCTGACATGGTGTATCATGTTGGTGTCATGGCACGTCTTGCGCACCGACGAGCAAGACATGTGGTCAAGCTTGGAGATGAGTTACTGAGGTATTTGAGTGCGAGAAGTTCAAAGGGTTTGCACTACATGAAGACCTCAGCACAAAAACCGTATGGTCGCAATGATGAGCTGGCCACGCAGGTGTCGATCAACAACTTAGAGGTGTTTGTGGATGCTTCGCACGCCCTGGAGCATGAGAACTACAAGTCGGTGACTGGGGTGATACTATGTGTTGGGGGTTCTCCCATCGCATGGGCAAGTGGCAGACAGCCGTTTGTTACCACTTCAACAGCCGAAAGCGAACTGGTGAGCTGTGGAGAAGGTTTCCAGTGTGGAGAAAGCCTTGCAGCACTCCTGGAGGTGATGGGCGTTGGGGACATCAACAAGACCCTCAACTGCGATTCCAAAAGTGCACTTCACTTGTGCACCAATGACACAGGTAGTTGGAGAACAAGACATCTGAGGATCAGGTATGCTCGACTTCGAGAAGCATTTCAAGATGAGCTCTCGCGATGGTGTGCGAGGCATGTCAGTGGCTTGGTGCTTCCAGCTGATGGAGCGACGAAACCGCTTCAAGGACCAAAGATGGACAACTTTGTGGACTCCATCTACCTGGACGATCTCAACGATCTACGACGTGCAGAAGATGAGTTGAGAGCGGAGGAAGAGATAGTAGTGAGGCTTCTCTCAACTGGCCAGACGCTGATGGAGACAGATGACTCTCAGTGTCAAGAAACTGGTCTGGGCCTCATCGTTGCTGCATGTTGGATGATGAAAAGAGGGAAAGGGAAAATGAACCTTCCCCACCATGGTCAGTTAGGGAAAATGAGCCAACTGACATGGAAGAGGCCAACGTCAGGGCACCAAATGAACCGGCGTTGAGACATGAGGGTAGGGAAGATGAACCACCCCGTAGGTTGATGAAAACCATGGTGAGGGCCCCAAATGAACCCACCATGCGAGAAGAGGGCAGGGAAAATGAACCGCCCAACAAGAGCCAAAAGGAGGCCATGCAACCTTTCCCAAAAGAGATGATCGATGTGGAGGGGAAAAGAAACTTTAGGGTTTCAAACATGGAGCGTAGTCTTAGTGCTGAGTACTATCCTCAAAGGGATCAAGTTTCCTCCCCACAAAGATCATCTCAAAACCCTGACAACTGCCCTTCGGGCTGCCACGGGCCGCAACTTCGGGCGCTCAAAGTCAGCCATGGGAAGAGACGTCAACAACGAGGTCTTTCGAAGAGGCGCCAAGGGGATGGGCATGGTTTCAACTGCAACTTGGTTGGTCGTGCTGAGCAATGGCATGGACTTGAAGGAGATCCGATTGAGGACTTCTCTGTTGAGGACCTTGGGCTCGAGCCGCCAACTGAGGTTTTGGGTGCCGGGCGACACGCCATGGAGAGCACGGCGAGGTCGTCAGGGAGTTCGGCAACAGGAACTTCTTCACTGCCGGCTTCGAGGGCAACCAAGGGAAAAGGCCACAATGGCCAGGATGATGGCCAGCATGGCTATGGAAAGGGCCAAGGAGGCCACTACAAGGGCCAACAAGGCCAGATGGATGGTCAGTTTGACCAAAAAGGAAAGGGCACTGGCAAGGTGTCTGAACGTGGTAGGGTGGCAATGTTGAGCCCTACAACCTCAGCCATTTGGGCTGGAACAGAACCCCAACCGCTTGGACCAGTCCAACAACGTGGACAAGCAGCAATGGGGGCAAGGACAATGAGAGGAAGTCGCTTTGGGTTTGAGTACGTGCCGATCCGCAACTACGATCCACGTCTTCAAGAACCAGAACCACAAGAGCGACCTCCAAGACCACTTGCGCAACAGGTTAATGACACGCAGTCTGATGGGAGCTATGAGTTGGTCTCCGAGGTTGCAGATGAGGAGCAACGCCCACAGACTGCAAGGCAAGTGCAACGAGAGGGCAAGCATGGTGCAATGGCTATGCCCCCACCAGGTGGAGATGGAGATGATCCTGGTCGAGATCGTCGAAATCGACGAGAACCAGAACGAGACCATGGGCCGGATCCTCCATCGGATGATAAAGATGAGGATGAAGAAGAACATCCACGCAGGACCTGTACAACCCTGGACGTCAAGAGGCAAAGAATGGCTTGGGCGCGACCCCCAGGATACTGGTTTCGGGGACGTGGCAGGGGCTCCAAGCAAGATGTGGAGACTGGCAAGGATGGGTCAACAATCATCCATGGAGTGCTCAGTCCAAACCTTTCTTGGCAAAGGATATATGCCAAGGGCTGTCGACCACGCCAGCTCTTCACGCGTGACCAAGCAGGAAAAGGGTCAGCGCAAGCAGCTCCAGTGCTGATGGGGAGAGGTGATTCCCCGGGTGAGCAAAGGCGCAACATCCTCCTGGCCACAGCCAATGCACGAGCTGTTCAAGCGCTACAAGCAGCTGATGAGGCGAACACCAACAGCGAGGACCCAAATGAGGTGGCTCAGGCTGTGCAGGCGGCTACAGCTGCGGTCGACTATGCCGCGGACGTTCAGGAGATGACTGAAAGTGGAACCACCCCAGCTCAAGCTGGGAAGGGGAGTGGCAGAAGTCGTGTCTCTGTGGCACAACTTGGAAAAGGCAAACCTGCCACCGCTGGAGAGCTGCAGGCTTACTATGCAGCGAAGGGTAAGGCTAAAGGCAGTGAAGCCCTGGAGCCTTTTGCAGATGGTTTGCATGAAGATGGTGGCGAGACTGCGGAGGAAGAGGCCTCTGAGAATGACATGGAGGTCATCCCTGAAGAGGACGAGGGCGATGGCGATGATGGTGGAGGTGATGATGGTGGAGCCGAAGGGCCTGCTACAGACCCACCAGTAGCCACCACAGCAACAGAGGTGGCGATCACTTCGACCACTGCGGGTGACCCAGCGAATGTTGAGGAAGAGGTCAACGCAGAGCCAGAGAACGTTGAAGAAGAGGTCAATGTGGAGCAGGACACAGAGGTGGAGAATGCGCTGCCTCCAAGGCGAACGCGCAACGACCCAAAGCATGAGATGGCGCCAATGGTCCCAGGAAGTTTGGGGCAACAGATGCGGGCAAAGGCAAGTTTTGGCATGGCATCAGCACCGCCAGCGCAGCATGTACAGCAGGTGATGACAGCGTTGATGCAGGGCCAAACAATCCCTTTGACGTATGGACGTTGGGTCCAGTGGGATCAAACCAGTTGGGTTGGATCCATGCAGACCTACAGATATGGTGTGTTCAATGGATTGCAGGTCGAGATGGACTTTGCGCAGGTGGGCTTGATGCTTCGCAGGCCAGTGGTTCCTGGGGTAACGCATTCACTTGCGCTCCAGGGAAATGTCATGGCTGTGCCGAAGACTGGCTTGACAAGAGAAGGTACAGAAGAAGAGGAGGCTGACCCGGGAGTTCCTTTTGAGCATGGAATGGTTCAGCCTGGCAAAAAGCCTCCCCCTGCAGCTTGGTTTCAGCAACAGAACATGCAGGACTGGATGAACCGCATGGCCAAGCCACCAGCAGTCCCTGTGCACCATGCAATGCCAGGACCACCACCAGCGGGCCCACCACCTCATGTGATGGCGGGACCACCTACAGGTCCACCTCCTAGCAAGGCAATGCCGAGGGCAGCTCAGACCTATGTGCCTGGACCTCCACAAGTACAACCACCAATAGCTGCTCCGATGCAACAAAGACCACAAGGTCATGCAGGATATGGTGGAGATCAAGGTGGCAGTCTGCAGCCACCACAACAGCAGATGATGGGAAACCCTGGTCAAGGTTCAACTTTGTCCCATATGTTGCGGATGACTGGCGAGCTTCGTGCAGAACAAGGGATTCAAGCTGCAGCGAACTTGGGTCTACGACCAGTGCCGCGACCGCCAATGACGGCATCGAAAGCTGCAACGAGGGTGAGAGAAGCGTCTGCAGATAGGGTTACGGTGAGATCCGATTCACCGGCCCAGTCAGTGACTTCGAGCTCTACGGCATGATCCATGGGGAGCGCAATTTTGAAAAGATGCTCTTTTGAGAGCCGGGCATTTTTCCTTTGGCAGAGTCTTTACTGCCGATAGATCAGCCGCGGTGTGAGTCTTTACATGCTAAGGTTGACTTCGAAAAGTGCGAGTGTTTACGCACCGTAGTTTTTCAGATTTTAAGATCAGTGCACCTAACAACAACCTGGTGCTACTGGCTAGTCTTAAGAGCCTTGAGCCCTGTAAAGAGCCTGTCGGAGGTGAGGCACGGAAACTCCCTTTTCTGCACGACAAAGTCGTGGGGGGAGTGCAAAAGGGTTCATGTGCATGCATGTGCAACTGGACAGGTGTAGGATCTAGTCTTACCACTGCTGGACAGGTGAAGTATCTGTTCTTATCAGTGCAACGACTGGAGGCTCTTTAAGGATCAAAAGTCGCGCTGCTCTGCCTAACACACAATGAAAATCCGATATCTGCCAACATCTGCCGTTGAGATAAGGCGACCGACTTCAACCTCTTCAGTCAGCTGACCTCTCGGCAGGGCTCAGCTCCGGCTGCTTCTCGGGCAAACTCCTGCGGAGATGTTATTCACCTCATTGACCCAGGTTTGTCTATCTTGTCTGGCTGTAGACATAATTATGCAGGCGATGTACGGTAGATATTGTAAGTACCTTCTCCATTCCGAACTCAGAGTAGCAAGTAAATCTGGCGCAAACACATTTTCCGGCTCTACGCTTTGGAATGCTACAGCCAAAATGCAATTCTGCATCTGGCAACTCCCTACGAACCCTACAAGCCTCCGAGAACGCAAGACATTCCCAGAAAGTTAAGACATGCTGGCAGAGCCACCGCATGCAGTGCAAAGAGCATTGCAGCACTGACAACCTCTGAAATAAATGTAAGTAGATCGGCATGTTCATCGCCGGTTCATAAATAAGTTTTAAATCAATCAACTGATTTTTCAACATGTTGCTGAAATCAGGAGCTGGCTCCAAACAAACAAAGAAAAACAACACTCATTCAGGCATATGTATATATATATATACACACAACTACTTCATTTCTGAAAATTCCCGTGGGAAGGTACAGAGTAGGTAGGTCTGATATACGGACGCATACTCATACAGGCTATGTAAATATATATGTGTGTGTGTATGTATATGTATGTATGTAAAATATAAAATCCGCCCGCACCGAAGATGCTGGGGCGTGATCTTCCGGATGGCACTCGTAAAAGGTTACAGGTTTACCTGGGGGGGTGGGCATTTTTCGGCCAAAACCTCCTGTTTTTGATAGGTCGTGACGCTCGCCTTCAAAAAACACTGTAAAAAACAGTACGGAAGACACCTATGAGTCAAAATTGTGTATGGAACGTTCCGCGCTGTTCCGGACGTATGGAACGAAGGGGTTTCGTAATTGGTCTTGTTCCGGACCTTTGGAATTGTGATGAAATATAAGCTGTACATAAATATAAATAGATATATATATATATATATATATACTGTAAATATGTCTAATATATGTATATATATATAATTACATCTCAAGGATATGCACGTTGAAGCTACTACCGCTGGCTGCCGCTCATTTTTACTTCTCATCTGTGCGGCATCCTTGTTGTACACCTGTTCAACGCAGGTTTGCCTTGCATGGCTAGTGCTCGTGCACTAGCTAGGACATATATAACTGGTAGCCTGGTAGCCAGCCTCACCCACTGGCTACTATGTGAAGCTGTCCGCTCAGCTTCAGACCTGTCACGCAGGTCCCACCTCCTACTCTTCTAACTCAGAAGTCCCGGTCCCTATGGGGTAGATTGTGTCCCCGCGTAGCAAGACTCTAGGCTCCCAAAACCCACGCGCAAAGGATGGCTTAGGAGCAGTCTATGTGAGAACCTGCCGTTTGTTCACGCGGAAGTGGGTCATGGATGGTACATGGGTGGTCCGGGTCTGGAACGGGTATGGAACGGTATGGAACGGGGTCTGGAACGAAACGGCCCACTCCAGCACAGCTCTGCCACCACGAAGCGCATCTTTATCAAAATTGGCAGTGTGGAGCGAGAGTAGCGCAGCAAGCAATTCTTAGACTCTTAGACTGCCAGCTGGCAACAGCCAAGCGCATCTCTACCATCAAACATCACAGCTGTGCCACAGCGGGCAGCAACTGTAAGTGGTGCAGGCGCAAACCTGCCACAGGTTGAGAGGGAGGGAGGGTTACAAGCAATCCATTCTTAGACTGCCAGCTGACAACAGCCAAGCACATCCCTACCATCACACAACAAACGCTGCAGGCACAGACTTGCCAACACAATCACAGGGCTTGGGCATAGTAAACCTATTCTTGCATGTACACACTCATGTATGTATGTGCGCTCAAGTATGCGCGTACAAATGTAAAATCAGACTGCACATATTCAGGTGTATATATATATAAATATATATATATATATATATATATATAAATACATATATATATATATATATATATATATATCATAACGTATGGATCAGAGGTATGGAACAGAGGTATGGAACGGATCCTTCAAGGAGGTATGGAACGGGGGTATGGAACGGGGGTATGGAACGGGTGTGGTCCCGGAGCTTGTTCCGGACCTCCTATTTTGACTTGCGACCTGTTCGTGAACGCGCCCGTCCAAAATCGGCAAGCGAAAAGTGACAAAAACCCGTGTTTTTCAACTTTTTGACCTCAATTTTTTGGTTTGCAACATCTTTTTTTGCGGTTCCGCAGGTGGCCGGGCCCGGAGGCGGATTTTTGAGTTTTTGGACCCGTTTTCGGACTGATTTTCGTCGTTTTGCGATAGCAGAAACACTGGTTTTTACAGTGTTTTTCTGTTTTCTGCATGCTTGACGGCTAGCTTCAAAACTTCCAAAAACCTCGTAAATTACGCTGTTTTATGTTACGGTGTGAATGAAAACATCGTAAATACCAGTGTTTTTTGACGTTGGTTAAAAAAACACTGTAAATTACAGTGTTTTTGGCCACCTGACCCTCAAAAACCATGGTATTTGCAGTGGTTTCTGCTTCTCACCGCGCAAAAACACTGTAAATAACAGCAATTTCGCCGTTTTTTCATGTTTTTCGTTATTTTTTGAACTGCGTTGGTCCGCTATACATGGCTATCAAATTCTTCGCGTTTTTTTTTCCGACAATCAGTACTTTCGGATGTTTTTGGTCTCAATGGCCGACATCATTGGCAGTTACGAGCGGCTGCCCAACGATGCGGCGCGGGCGGTTGCCGTCGCGAAGCGGCGTGAATATGAAACGTTTCCACAACATACCGCAAGATGAAGTTTGCAGTGAATCAAGGCTGGAGCCAAAACCCTTGTTGTCTCTCAAACGCTTGGTTTCAATTGGTTTCATGTGGTGGATGTCAAAGCATGTCAATGACACAGAAGCTACGCACTATGTACAGGCACATCTAAAATATAGAATCGATTATCATCATCGTATATAGGATTATATAGGTATACAATATGATACAATCTTTACTCGTTGCCGGCAAACCACGTTGAAATGCCATGAGCATTTCAGCAAGGCACGCACGGCCTAAGCCTATGACCTAACAGTTTTGTGGAAAACCAAGCCATGTACTCAGGGGCTTCCATCAGAGTCATCTCCTTCGTGAGCACCTTTGCGGGAAGTATCAGGAGGTTGGGCGTATCTTTGCGATGAACAAAGTGACACAAGAATTGACATGAGCGATTTTGCCAAGCCACCATTTTCCAGCAACTGACCCTCATTGTCAGGGCACAGATGGGGAAAATCCAAGTCCTTCCATGTGATGAACAAATCTGAATGGTAACATGCACAGTGCGAAAGCTCAGTCCAACTCTCTAACTGTCTAACTCCTGGCATCTCACAATCTCCCAACATGCCATAAAACTGTAAAATGATGCAAAATGATGCAAAATGTCTCTCCACGTGTCGGCTGTCCTGCTCCAAGTCATCTGGACCAACGTCCTGTCCAAGCACTGGCTTCGTGAAACGACCATCAACCATGATTCACCTGCCACCCACGTGCCTTGTCAAATGGATTGCCGCTCTCTCCACAGTCTTCCAAATCATCTATAGGACCGCTTGATGCCTGGAAAGGTCAGGCCACGCCAAGTGCTCTTTACAAATGCGTATATACTGTTCTCATGATACGTTGGCATCGTATCGTTCCATTCTTTGTTACAGAATTCCCTTTCAAGCTGCAAACCCTTCTTCCCATTTCAGTTCCTCGTTTCCTCATCATTCTACCTGAAATTATGACGTCTGAGAGGTTTTCAAGTTCGAGGAGGGTTCTATCTATCTCTTTCGCTAAGTGGCCGCAATCGTGCTCGCAGAAGTCAAATCTGGGCTGCCGTCAATGCCTTCCAGGGAAAATCCGTCATAGCGAGCTTGGGTATAAGCGCGTTCGGTATCTAGTCTTGTTCAGTCAAATCCATTGCCTGATGTTTTCCGCATCGTATCATAAAGGGACGGAACAGCAAGTTGTAACTCTGCAAGCCTTTTGCACATGTGGGGCTATCCATGGCTCTGGCCTTGGCACCAAGCAGGAGCATAGCATAGTTCAATTGTCAATCATTTCCAATAGTGAATATCTGAATATTAATTATTGAATAAATTAAATTAAATTACCCGTAGTACCGCACAAGGCGGTGGCGCAAGTTTCAAAATAGGAAACCGGCTGGTTGTTGTGAATCACGGATGGCAGAGCGAATCCACTGATGGACCGAAAGGTGGTTGAGGTCTCCTCTCGTTCTCTCTCTTTCTCTCTCTTTCTCTCTCTTTCTCTCTCTTTCTCTCTCTTTCTCTCTCTTTCTCTCTCTTTCTCTCTCTTTCTCTCTCTTTCTCTCTCTTTCTCTCTCTTTCTCTGATTAGCTACCTACCTACCTACCCGCCCACCCACCCACCTACCTACCTACCTTACCTTACCTTACCTTACCTTACCTTACCTTACCTTACCTACCTACCTACCTACCGATCTACCTGTCTATCTATTGTTCTTTCTATCTCTCTCTCTCTCTCTTTCTCTCTCTGACGCTCTCTTTCTCTCTCTTTCTTTCTCTTTCTCTCTCTTTCTCTCTCTTTCTCTGATTAGCTACCTACCGACCTACCTACCCACCCACCCACCCACCTACCTACCTTACCTTACCTTACCTTACCTTATCTTACCTTACCTTACCTTACCTTACCTACCTACCTACCGATCTACCTGTCTATCTATTTTTCTTTCTATATCTATCTCTCTCTCTCTCTATCTACCTATCTACCTATCTACCTCTCTACCTATCTACCTATCTACCTATCTACCTATCTACCTATCTACCTATCTACCTATCTACCTATCTACCTATCTACCTATCTACCTATCTACCTATCTACCTATCTACCTATCCATCTATCCATCTATCCATCTATATATCTATCTATCTATCTATCTGTCTCTCTATCTATCTATCTATCTATCTATCTATCTATCTATCTATCTATCTATCTCTCTCTCTATCTCTCTATCTATCTATCTATCTCCCTCTCTCTCTCTCTCTCATCTGTCTGTCTATCTATCGATCCATCTATCGATCCATCTATCGATCCATCTTTCGATCCATCCATCTATCTATCTAATCTATCTACCTATCTACCTATCTACCTATCTACCTACCTACCTACCTACCTATCTATCTATCCATCTATCCATCTATCCATCTATCCATCTATCCATCTATCCATCCATCCATCTATCCACAACGGCGTGCACTTTTTCGACATCTCAACTTCCAAAAGTGGTCCAAGAATGGTGTGCTTTGTACATTTTGGACTTCGAAACGTGCTTCGCGCCACAACGGCGTGCACTTTTTCGACATCTCAACTTCCAAAAGTGCTCCGAACGTGGGGTGCTTTTAGCTTTTTCACTTGCAAATGTGCTTCGCGCCACAACGGCGTGCACTTTTTCATCTCTCATCTGGCCAGATGGCTCCGCACCCGCCGGTTTAGCGAGCCTACTTTTCAACCCTCCGGAGCCACAAATCATTGGAAAAACACAGTGTTTCGCGACTTTCCTAGCTTTTCGCGCATCTGAGCTCCTTTCTTCTGACTCTTTCTCTTCTCTGATCTTCTCTCTTCTACTCTTCTCTTCTCTCTGACTCTTCCCGTCTCTGCTTTTCATCTGTCCATATTGTAGGAAGTTTGACTTCTAAACTTCCTTCGACAATAAATGAATATCAATATATATTGTGATTAGATCAATTATGATCAATTCATCTATCAGCCGGGAAAGCGCCCACCCAGCAACCATTTTGAAGCAAATTCAGTAGAAGAAAACAAGTACCCACATGCCTTTGCCGCCAAAACACCTTTACACAGTTGCAACGAGCAATCTCTATAAGGCATTATAAGGCTACGAAAGTGCTCGAATGATTGTCCCAAGAAAGCAAAGGTAGCATCCCCAAAAGCAAAGGGGTAGGAAAGCATGACAGCAACCAGTGAATGTCTACTTTTAACCACCTGAACCCTGACGGGAACCCCCAGACCAACAACCACGCCGGCACATCCAGTTTCACCCGAAACCATCCTGGAAGCCACAGCAGAATCCCTACACGAGAACCTCTGGAACAATCACGGGACTTCTAGAACCACCACTCCGGACCCTCCACAACCATCGGGGAACCCACCCTAGAAGCTGAACCCGCACCGAAACCTGCATGGGAACTCCCCGCAACCACCCCGGAACCCGCACCGGAAGCCACATCGAACCTTCATTCGGGCTGAGACCCCTAAGCCACTGTTGGTGAAAATGAAACTGCAAAATCCAGCTGCCAAAAATTGATGGCAAATATGGCAATGCAACATGTCTGATGTCCCTGCAGCCAAATCTCAGCCGCTTCTGCTGCATCGGGTGCACCCAGCAACTGAGGCGGGGATGCGCTACAAAGCGCAATCGATCAGGAAGAATCAGGACAACCTTCCTATCGCCTTTTCAAGATATGTAAATTAAATGTGTTAAAATGATCGTGATGACTTCATCGAGATGACACTACTATGCAAGATTCAAGATTATGCAAGTATCCTTGCTGTGCGACACCATGTCACGAAGGTCTCTATTCAAAAACAAGACCTTCACGGGACAGTATTGATCTGAACGAACTGCATGCAGGAATCCGTGGGAACTTGTACGAACCAGGCGCCGTGCTCCAAGCACGAATCGGTATGGACGGTCATTTGAGTTTCAACTGTGAAACAGGGTTTGGTTTGCCTGCAAAGCCGCAGCTGCTAATGAAGGTGGCATCTCTTTCCGATTGAGGCAGGCTGACAGCTTTTGAAACCAACCTCAGCTGCTGCATGAAGCAAACCACTTCTTGTGGGGTAAGGCCGGACAGCTAACTCTGCTTACGTTCTGAAGCTCTTGTGCGACTGGCTTGCTTGCTTGAGCTCAGCAACTATTGAGACGAGCGGAGGTGCCTGGTGCAGGGTCATGAAACTGAAAACATACTGAAAACCAAGGACACGGGGCCCACAGGAGAAGAACTAAGAAAAAGAGAGAGAGAGAGAGATAGATAGATAGATAGATAGATGAGAGCTCGAAAAATAATGCAGACTTCAAGTCTCCAGCCCATGATGCCCATGCCTGGTAAGTGCAAGGATGACGCAAAGGGCGAGTTGGTAAAGACGTCTTGGTAGGCCGTGCCCAACCTGGTCTGAACACATCTAGCAAGATTGCCGCATGCATGCTCAAGGCAAAGGAAGAAAGTATTCATGCCGGTTGCTTCTTTGGCAGCTTGTTCAAAGTTTGATTGTTCATAACTTTGAGGTTGCTGCGTTTGCTTCACCCGATCATGAAGACCCTGCAGGGCCAAGTTGGAACTCACTCGAGGCAGGAATTGAAGCTCAAACAGCCTCTCGCAGATGGCATAAACGCCGAAGAGAGCGCCAAGAGAGGTAGGGCGAATGCCTCAGTCAATTTCAAGGAAGGAGATAAGATTGCAGCACGGAGGTCATGTGAAAGCTCAGGATGGTCATGGAGTCATGATGAGTCATGGATGGTCAGTGCTTGTGCCACAACAGCGATACAGTCAGTATGAAAAACATGGAATACAGGGACTGTACTGTATGGGACTGTAAAATTGAAAGGGTGCAAGATATTGCAAGATAGTTTTTTGGACTTTATGGGGTCTTTTTTTTTTCCTCTCTTTCCTGGTACCATTTGCCTTGTATTTGCAACAGTTTGGAACTAGAACCTCATTTCGGCATGGTGAATTGCATTTTGCATGGTATTTGCTACATTTGCCCATGTTCGCCTTCCATTTTGCATGGTATTTGCCACATTTTGGCACTTCAACCTCTCATTTGTATGGTATTTGCTACATTTTGGTACTTCAAACGTTCATGTGGGTTCCTTGAGGGTTTCTTTTGGTTTTCACTTAGGGTTTCATTTAGGGTTTCATGTGGGGTTTCTTTAGGGATTCATTTAGGGTTTAATTTAGGTTTTCTTTAGGGTTTCTTTAGGGTTTCATTTCGGGTTTCATTTTGGGTTTCTTTGGGTTTAGGGTTTTTTAGAGTTTCATTTAGGGTTTCTTTAGGGTTTCATGCGGGGGTTCTTATCAGGATTTCAAAACGTTCATGTGGGTTTCTTTAGGGCTTCTTCAGGGTTTCATTTAGGGTTTCATTTGGGGTTTCTTTAGGGATTGATTTAGGGTTTCTTTAGGATTTCATTTCGGGTTTCATTTTGGGTTTCTTTAGGTTTAGGGCCTAAGGTTTTTTGGAGTTTCATTTAGGGTTTCTTTAGGGTTCCATGCAGGGTTTCTAATCAGGAGTTCAAAACGTTCATGTGGGTTTCTTTAGGGTTTCTTCAGGGTTTCATTTAGGGTTCATTTGGGGTTTCTTTAGGGTTTCGTTTAGGGTTTCTTTAGGGTTTCATTTAGGATTTCATTTAAAGTTTCTTTAGGGTTTCATGTGGGTTTCATTTGGTGTTTCTTCAGGGTTTCAATTTAGGGTGTCATTTAGGGTTTCATTTGGGGTTTCTTTTGGGTTTCAGTTAGGGTTTCATTTAGGGTTGTTTAGAGTGTAGTCAAGAGTTTTTTTAGGATGTCATTTAGGGTTTCATTTAAAGTTTCTTTAGGGTTTCATTTATGGTTTCTTCAGGGTTAATTTATGGTTTCTTTAGGGTTCATTTAGGGTTGCATGCAAGGTTTCTTATCAGGATTTCTTTAGGGTTTCTTTGGGTTTCACCCAGGGTCTCTCTGGGGTTTAACTTGGGATACAAACAGGAGAGAATAAAGCAAAAGAAATGAAAAACAAAGAGACAGTAAAGACGGGAAGCAGAGAAGCAAAGGAGCAGAAAGTAGAGCAGCAAAACACATGACTGAAGAAAAAAAAGTAAAATAGTAGAAGTAAAAAGGCACAAAAGCAGAAAAGCAGAGAAGCAGAAAAGCAGAGAAGCAATGAAAGCAGAGAAGAAGAAAACAATTCGAAAAGCAGAGAGGCAGGAAAAGCAAAAAGCAGATAAGCAATAAAAGCAGAGAAGAAGAAAACAATTCGAAAAGCACAGAGACAGGAAAAGCAAAAAGCAGAAAAGCAGAGAAGCAATAAAAGCACAGAAGAAGAAAACAAGGCGAAAAGCAGAGAAGCAGGAAAAGCAAAGAGCAGAAAAGCAGAGAAGAAGAAAACAATTCGAAAAGCACAGAGGCAGGAAATGCAAAAAGCAGAAAAGCAGAGAACAATAAAAGCACAGAAGAAGAAAACAAGTCGAAAAGCAGAGAAGCAGGAAAAGCAAAGAGCAGAAAAGCACAGAAGAAGAAAACAAGTCGAAAAGCAGAGAAGCAGGAAAAGCAAAGAGCAGAAAAGCAGAGAAGAAGAAAACAATTCGAAAAGCAGAGAGGCAGGAAAAGCAAAAAGCTGAAAAGCAAAGAAGCAGAAAAGCAGAGAAGCAATGAAAGCAGAGAAGAAGAAAACAATTCGAAAAGCAGAGAGGCAGGAAATGCAAAAAGCAGAAAAGCAATGAAAGCACAGAAGAAAAAAACAAGTCGAAAAGCAGAGAAGCAGGAAAAGCAAAGAGAAGAAAAGCAGAGAAGAAGAAAACAATTCGAAAAGCAGAGAGGCAGGAAATGCAAAAAGCAGAAAAGCAGAGAACAATGAAAGACCCTCGTCTGTTGCCAGGGGGGGTGAGGCACCTAAAAAAATAAAATAAAATGCAGGGGCCTAAGGAGAAAATGCCAATAAAATGAGAGGGCATAAGGTAAGATAGGAAAACCCATTTTTGATGCCAAAAGTTATCGTTTTCGTTATCATTTTATTAGCGTTCGTGAATCCGCTGGAACGTTTCACAAAATGATCAGGCCGTTCACAGCTGTGCATCTTTGCTATGATGCTATCTCTGTCAGTTAACTTGATGGGTTAGTCACCTCAAAAAATAAAATGCACCCACAAAATAAAATGCAGGGGTCTGACCCATTTTATTTTCATTTTATTTGTTTATTTTAAAAGGGGCTTCAGCCCCCCCATTCTATTTAGGTACCCCGGACGGGGGTATGAAAGCACAGAAGAAGAAAACAAGTCGAAAAGCAGAGAAGCAGGAAAAGCAAAGAGCAGAAAAGCAGAGAAGAAGAAAACAATTCGAAAAGCACAGAGGCAGGAAATGCAAAAAGCAGAAAAGCAAAGAAGCAGATAAGCAGAGAAGCAATGAAAGCACAGAAGAAGAATACAAGTCGAAAAGCAGAGAAGCAGGAAAAGCAAAGAGCAGAAAAGCAGAGAAGCAGGAAAAGTAGAGAAGCAATGAAAGCAGAGAACCAGGAACCAAAAAAAAAAACAAAACCTGGCCAAAAAAAAGAAGATAGAGCTGTCCATATTGAAACAGCAGCGTGACACTCACTCCAAGCAATTGGCCAGCGCCCAGGCTCAGCGAGGGCGCATTTCACCTTGATGCGCCGCGACAGCCATGACCACCAAGCGAAGACTGTGCCAAAACAATAAGAAGTAAATGGAAGAAATACAGTTTGAGTTGACATGCTGGTTCGCATGTGAATGCAAGTGAATTGGCAATACTATGATAGGACATGATAGGTAATTATGTGAACTCACGTGAGTAATCATGAGTTCATCTGCTTCTCCCATCTTCTCAAATCTGCTAAGCGGCATCATAGAACATGTGCCCATCAACCTGGGCCACCAGCTCCGCATCCCCAAGCTGCTCCAGGCTTTGCTGAGTAACAGGTTTGGTCCGCAACACAAGGACTTCTTGGCCCAGGCACTTTGGTATGGCCACACACTTGCAGACTTAGCGCTGGCAAGTCTTTCCAATTAAACCATTCCGTTGCACTTTTCGCCTGCCAAATGGATTCAAAAGCTGAAAAGCACAAGCTTGAGCATGACAGCATGACTGTGATTACTCCATCGACCAAAAGCCTTACCATGCTGTGCCTTATAACCGTATGGTGCCAAAAAGCTTGGCACATCACTTTCGGCGACAACACCAGGCAGATCTTGCAAAAGCACAGGCGTCTCATTGCCAGCAATCACCTGCAGGCCGGATAAATATGGCTGGAAGATAAAACATTATGATCGGAACTGATCAGAACTGATCAGATATGATAATGACATGATAGTGACATGATCATGTGGGGCTGTATAAAATCCCGGTATCTTTTTAAATGACACAAAATCACGTTGTCGTTTTTTAACTCTTACCACTCTTATCGTTTTCTCAGGTGGTGAGCTCCCTGTAGACAAGAAGTGTAAATTTTCCAGCTTTCTGTGGGTGTGAAAGCACCCTTGGTCGAGAGTCAACGGATGTCATCTTTTGTTTTCATTTCCTTTATCGCCTTTCATTTGGCATTCATTTCCTCTTATGTTCCTTTCATTTTGCATTCATTTCCTTTCATGTTGCATTCGTGTCCTTTCATTTTGCATATTTCATGTCCTTTCATGTTCCGTCGCCACGTATCAAAAATACAGGTTTGCGAAAGCTGATATGATCAAACTGGTCAGGTGGGTATCCGCCCAAACGCGCGCGTTTTTTTCATGTTTCGTTATCGTTTTTGTTCTCGTTTAGCTATCGTTTTGGAGGCCTGTGCGCGTTGCCATCTTCAGGCTTCATGAACATGTACGTGTATAAGCTCGTTATCGTTTTTTGCTCTTATCGCCGCTTTCTGGGCCGTCAATGCAAGCCAAGCTAAAATGAAATGCCCGGGGTTATTACACTATCCCATGTGGGCTAGTCGATCCAGGTGACCAGACCGTGATCAGCCTTCAGCTCTGTTTCATAACCATCATTCGGCATCGTGGGCAGTCTGGAGCTGTGATCTTCACTGTCTTGCAATGCTGTTTGGGCTGCGGATGTCCAAATGAG